AATAAAATCAATAAAATTTACATAAAATAAACAAATATTTTCAATAACGCAGATTATATCGATATCACATCCGACTATTTTGCATGGTATGAGAAACATGTCAAAAACTTTGGAGGTAGGGGGTTAGGATTGAATAAGTTCAAAAGCAAAGAGCAAATACGTAACAAGACTTTAGGACAGGAAAAGTATCGAAGAAAATTCTCCAAAGTATCGGAATACCACAACTGTACAGAGTGAATAGAAAATGTAAAGCTGGAGTACAGATTTCAGTAAAAATTTATGAGTGTGCAGTGTTTGGTGTTTAGTATATCGTTTTGCTACATTTTAACCTGTTGAGCGGTGCTGAGACAAATTGCCATCTTATTTGACATCGCTTTTACGACTATAAGATATTAATATGTTGTTATGCGTTAACGACAATATATAAGAATATTGTTACTTGAAATGCAATTATTGGAAAATACTGAACACATTATATGGCATCTTATTTCTTTATAATACCGTGTTAACGATTATAGAAAATTTGCAAAGTTAAATTAGAATTTTGCACATATATATAATACTGTAAGATATGTTGATAATAAATATATTAAATTATAACACTATGTAATAAAATAAATTTATTTATTTTATTCAATTTTGTCAAAACAGCCAAATTGGGATATTCTTATTTATTTTGTATAACATTCGATATTATCAATTATTTATTTATTTTTTAACATTATTATCTATCACGAAGCTATCCTCTTAACAGGTTAAATGCATATGTTACATTGACATGTGATATTTCGAAGTTTTAATCCTTTCATTGTTCTGTGTAACATTTCAGTGATGAGAAACAAACATAATAAAGTTATATAGATAAAATTGAATGAATAAAAAATAAAATTCTCTTATAATTCATATCTAACTAATACATATTTAGTATATGAATTACTTTTAATTCATTAGTAATAAATGTTCTTTGTTCTGATTTTTTAAACCTGACAACAAATTTCAATATGTCATATTCGGCATTGACATGTTTCTTATTTCTACAAAAATCTTTATTCTTCTTTACTTCTTTAAGTAATTTACATACCCTACACATAAATTATTCCTGGTCTTGTTCGTAAACTTGATAGAACATTTCAGTCTACATTTTGATATATCATATTGATGTCACATTTGACAATGACGTGTTTCTTATTTCTAGACTGCGGATATTCATGTAAATACCTACATATTTTTATAGGATATTGGTAATAAAGTGGGACTTGGATAGAAATTTGTTTTGCCTCAAGAGGGTTTGAATCATGTACTATTTATTTTACATATTTTCAATCTTTTATGTTTTGCATATTTCTCTTTAAGAATGTATGCAAAAATATATTGCATATTTCATATAAATTTAGCATATTTATTTTGTAAAATCCGATATTGCTTATTGAACTTTCGAAGAAATTTACTAAGTATATGAAAAATATTGAAGACATGCTTATAGTTTATTGCAATATAAATTATATAAAATGTTTAAATAATAAAGGTTCCATTATAATCACACATTTTCAATATACCTGATAGGATGGATATTCTGCGGTGATCGGAAATGATCTGATACCCAGATTTACGTACTTATTACGGTTTATTATAAAGGAAAAAGAAAATACACAAAATCACGTCTGAACACTCCTACTTCGCTATCGCCATATTGGATACGTACTACGCTTGGGCCTCAAGCCCCCTCTATCTCGTTTGCACATGCGCGGTCGGTACTGTAGGGAGGCATTGTTATCTTGTTATATTTTCCCATATGTTCATATATTTTCATATTTCAGATATTTTATTTGCATATTTCGACATACAATTTTAAATGCACAAACATCCGCAGTCTTCTTAATTCTACAAAAATCTTTAAAATAATAATTGAAGATATTTATCCTGAATAAATTAAAATTAATAAAATAACAATATCAAATCATTTAAATACGATAAATACACTTCTTTATTTCTTCAAGTAACTGAAATACCCTGTACATAAATTATTCCTCGTCTTGTACACTTATATCACAATTACCAGAACAATGAACGGATTAACCTAACCTATACAACCGCTGAGTTGTATTTTCAATTGTCCGGGAATTATTAGCGTTAATTTCGTAATGCAGGGATAATGTACTGCACTTTTTACCTTGCTCACTTACCAGAACTTCTTCGAAACGATCGTAATTCTCTGGCCTGGTGTTTAGAAGGCTCTCGCCAACCGAATCCGTGGCATTGCTCATCTGGCAGGAACCGCGGCTCTCCAAAGCGCTGGATGCAATATGCAGCAAGGATAGCACTGCCAAAAGTCCGGCTACGGATATATAAACAGAGGAAAAATAACGGGGAACGTTTTTCGCATTCTGTGCTGCTCTTGACGTTTTACAACTCGCAAGGGAACATCCGCAAGTGATAATCACCGATATTGATGAAACGAGATGAAAATTGTAGAATATTAAATTAAATAATGAAAAATATAATTCATATAAAACCCTCATATAGTGACCATACTTTGATAAGTCTAATTCGTAATATTTCTAAAAAATTGTCATTTTTGAAACTTACACTAATAAAGGAATATCTCGAAGTGATAATCGTTGATTTTGATGAAACTTCGGTATATATAGTACTAAAAAAAATATTTCACACGTGTATTCTTTTATCGGCGATCGTTCACATTGAAAGGGTGCAAATCGTCCTCAAAATGGGAGTAATAAACATACTCGTTTTAAACTTTCTTTTTTATTTTTTATTTCTCAAATTTACTGTTGAAAAGTAGAAAATTTGTTAACTTACGCTATTCCTCTATCTCTGACTGTTTTTGAGATATTAGGCTACATGTATTTAAATACTACCTCTATCTTTCAGGGCGATTTTCATTCACCCCTTCACTGTGGATGATTGCCGATATAAAAAAAATCGAAGAACAAAAATAATCGAAGAATTAAAAGAATTGACGAATTAAAAGAATTGACGAATTAAAAGAATTGACGAATTAAAAAAATTGACGAATTAAAAAAATTGACGAATTAAAAAAATTGACGAATTAAAAGTATTGACAAATTAAAAGAATTGAAGAACTACTTACGAAGAAAAAGTATTGACAAATTAAAAGAATTGAAGAACTAAACGACTTCGACTGCTGCGGGACGAGTGCATATAGGGGGAATATATAAACATCCAGTTTGCCAAGTTACCCGCGACATAGGACAACCAAAGATTGTGCGGTTTCCATGCCAAAATACAGGATAGCGGTAGATAAAACAATGCCTTCCGCCAACCCCTCGTTATCGCCAGCACTGCCGACCAGCAGCACGAACAAAGAGACTCATCGTTTCTGAAACAAAATATGTATATGGTTTTACGGAGCTCCATGTCATTCTCGACAAGAACTGCGTCTTTTCAAATTAGATTTATGGATGTAATAAAGTGTATAACGTAATAAAGCGCCGACGCGTATCCAGGTTTTATTGGAAGAAATATAATTCACAAGTATTTTCGCTGAAACTTTATACGGCGGCAGTTTTGTAATTTTGCAATTGAAAACAGCTGTTATTATCACCTTAGCGAGCATATTGTATAATTCTTTGTATAAAGATACTACATTGAAAATGTAGAATATTGGATTAATGGGTTAAATAAATAGCGTTTACTGTGAATTTACTTAAACGTGTTTTATTTCTATCGCGCGGAAGGACGTCTTTACGCTTGGAAAATCGTAGACGAAGTGAAAGTAAAAAACCCGCAAGGGCACGACTGAAAATCTGTTGCGCATTTAAGTAAAAGAGACTAGGATTGCATCAGTCTATTACATTATTTTGACATAGCAGTGTTTCTCATACATAACACAATTCATTTTTGCTTACTAGCTGACGTATTATTGTTAGTAATAATCCAACATAGAATTTGGTTAAACATAAAATTCAGGACTTTCAATAGAGGGTTTGAATTTAAAGCTTGTTAAAAGTCAATTTGAAATTTTTTATTATTTTGTTTTAATTTCAGTTAATATAATTTCGTTCGATATGATAATACTTTAAAGTGATTAATGTTAAAAAAGTCCAAAAAGCGAAGGCTTGAGTGGGCCATGTGCAGTCTTCTGCTGTTTTTCCCCCTCCTAGGGATAGTTCTGCCTCAAGGCTAAGAAAGGCCATATTGTCAGGGGGGGTCCTCTTGACTAGGTTTTCAGGAAAGACAGAATTACAACCATTCACTCTGTTTAACCGCCCACGTTTATATCTTATTCAACCGCTCACCACCGTTATCCTGATGGTGTAGTATACAGATATTGAATAAAATACTGTGTACAAATTAATTGATATTTTTCCGATAATTTTTAGGACACATTTGCCTAAATCAATCATCGTACAATCATTAAAACTTTTTAAAACGACTAAATAATTACGAGTTACCCGCGTGTAATTTGTATCAATTTCATTTTAGCAGTATTATATCTGGAAGTTTACAATCGCCGAACCATTTAATCGCATCGTTTCGCAGCGACTTTATTGGAGCGTTTTAATCGAATGATATTTGCTATTGAATGGAGTCAAACTGATGCAATTTTTTCGATAGGGCATTCAAATTGAAATTAATGAAATGGATCCAGCAAATTTTATTACACGCCACTAGATTTTACAATATTGCTACGAACAACGCTTGCTGACTTTTTTTATTTACTATTAAACGTACAACGCAAGAAATCTTCACTTGTCACCTATCTTTAATTTCTTGTGTTACTTTTTACAGCTTTTAACAAAAGCACAATGCTAATAATTATTCGACAATTATATGTTTACTGTATGTTTATTATATTTTATGTTTACTATGTTTAATTAGATAATATCAGTTGTATAAAATTTTCACTGGATCTTGCAAGAGTCAAACGTAATTGTTTGTCAAAGTAATTCTCTTTTTTGTAGACCTAATATACAGGGTGGGCCACGCAAAACAAGCCACCTAACTATTTATCTTCTATGGTGGTACGAAAAAATGTTACTTTTAAAATTTTAATCATTACACATGTTTAAATACACATGAATGTCAACTGCAACATACAGTAGAAAAAATATATACATTCGTGTAAAAAACACAACTGAACTTGAAAAAAGAAAAACAGAAAAATGGCATTTATAAAAAAAATTTTTTTTCCATCTTATTCAATTTTTAAGACTATTTGAATTAAGTATAAAAATTGTCTGGTACTAGCATAGATGGAGAAGATAATTAGGTGGCCTGTTTTACGTGGCTCACCCGGTACATGAGAGTTACATCGTTACCTACATATGATAACGTCGTGATGAAGGAAAAGTGTACATAAAGATATCGTTCAATTAGCCTGAGGTATTGACATTTTTTTTACACTTTCGCCAATTAAAAACACGTTAATGTTCACTACAAGAGTTAGAATCATTATCACGTCACTGTGTATCTTAGTATTTTAATTATTACGCGTAATATCGGTACATATTGTGTCTAATGAAAAAAATGTTTTAATGGTTACCTGAAACTTTCTGCATTAATTTGTGTACACTTCAGCGGAAAATGTTTGATTTTGGAGGCAGTTTTAATAGAATTTATAACACGAATTAATTACAATTTGAACTTCGAACGGTACTAACTAGAAATAAAATTTTCAGTTGAAACAAAAGTAAAATAAGGGTGTAAATTAAATTAAGCTGAATTAAATTTCGTTCATATTTTCACTCCCCTTTGTCTCTACAATCTCGTTAAAAACAAAATTACATTTAACATTTAATTTACCATTTTCCAACACTCTCCTTTCGTTCTCGCACTTCTTCCAAATGAATTTGTATTTTTATTGATAAAACTTCTAAACGTCTGACTTAACCAACAATTGTACACCTACAACAAATTTAACAATAGATTAGTTAATAGTGAAGAAAATGACTACATTATTTCTCGGTCATTTTTAACGTTTTGTCAAGATTGAAACTTTTAGCCAAGATTGAAACTTGTGTCCCAGAATTTTCCCCGATTTTTCGAACGCCTAGAATAGTGAAAAATTAGACTTGGATCAATAAATCATTATCTTTTCAAGAATTTCATATTCGAATTAACACAATCTTTCTGCCCAACTGAATTTCTTCGAGAAAAACATACACGTGCTAAAACAGTATCCCCGAATAACCACCCACAAATAATATTACTCAGCAATGGAGGGACGACTCTCGAAGCCAACCACTCAGCTATTGGCATCAACGAGCAAACAAGAAGAAGAAAAAAGAATCCTTCGTATACGCGGAATAAAGCATCTCATTTCCATCGGTTGTAATAAGAAAGCCGCGGAGAGAAACGTTTGAACGACTCGGCCGTCCCTTTTGATATCGTCGACAAGAATATAAACTTCCGAAACGAGTGTGGTGTCGAGCCGAGATAGATCGTCGGAAGTTGGTCCACCAATAAAATCGGCTCTATCTTCCGAACTCCTTTCACTGTATTCCCTCGGCTTTCGTTGTATTTCATCCGCGTTCGACGAGAGCAGACTACACCTCTCGAGGCTTCGTGAATTTATTTTTCAGCTCAGAGAGGCTTCTGTTCTCTTGATCACTCAGAAGTTACATGCTACATACTGAAAACTCCGCTCAAGTTGATATCACTTAAAGCGCCGGCCATTTTGTTCGAAACTTTACTTGAAGCGCCTCGATAGTTTTGTAGAAACACGCACTTTTACGAAATAAAATAAAATAACTCTTGCGAAACAGAAAATTTCTAGTGAAAAATTTTACGCAGTGCTTGTTACAGGCACAGCGACGATTTTTAATGATATGAATATTCAGCCACTTGCTGTTCAAGAGATATCATATTTTTTTCTGAACAAACCTGTAAAAACGCGTTGAAGTGGTATTATTGGGTCGTTCGGAAAGTTCGTAGGGTAAACCATCGTATCTCCGTTTCTAATTGACACAGTGATAAAAGTTAAACGGTATCTTCTCGACGGTAGACGCAGAGTAGTCCTCACTATTTCCTAAAACTGCTTCGATTGAGCGAATCTCTGGAATTTTTTTAGGCAACAAAAACTGCTTTCATTCCTCTCAGACTGCTTTCCAATTTCGCTAAGGATCGGACGCGTCAAAAGACGTAACGTCGGCAATTTCCGGAATATATCTCCCTCGTTAGTAGACGCGACATGGTCACGACGTACGTCTACTATCGAGACACTATTGTAAATAGAAAATGAGTAAAAATTCTTGCAATTGTGAATATGATATATTTTATTAGGTTGTGGAACTGCGTTAAAAGGTTCTGACAGCACAGAGCAAACAAATATTCAACGCGCCAGCAGCAAAGAAAGGGTTAAATTGTAATTCTTCGAAACAGGTCGATTAAAGATGACCTCAGGGGCCGCGACTGACTTTTTCCATCGGTCGCGGTACGGGAGTTCACGACCCCGAGGAACCCAAATGCACGGGCCCTGGGGGAGGAGGCACTGCTCCTCCCGCCAGGCTCCGGATTGGCGGCCGCACGCGCGGGAGGGCCACGCCTCCTTGACGGGGGACGGGGTACCCCAGAGTCTTTGCGCGGCGGCCGGGCTCGTAAGGGCTGTCGAGGGGGGGACTCGGAAGCCCATTGCACGCGGCCCGCGGTGGGGGCGTCGCCGGCGTGGTCCCGGCGGCGCCTCGGAGTTGAGAGGGGGTCTATTTGACCTCCTCCGGGATGAGCCCCTCCCTCCTCGAACATCTCGAGGGAGGAGCCCGGCGTGGGGTGGGTCCGGTTGTGTTCGTAAGAGATCCCGGGCCCACCCCCGGAGTGCCGAGGATGGCCACCGTGGGGTTTTAGCCGGTAAGAGTCCGTCACTACTCCGCCCCCTCCCCTGGGGGGCGGGACGTCCATGAGGATTTCCCCTCGTAAAAAAAAAAAGGTCGGTTAAAGGTACGTAATATATTAATACTATCATTGTTTCAGGTTGTTGGACAATTACCGAAACTGAATGTGCTTATTTGCAATGGAGACCAATTTCTTACACAAGTGTTGTTAATGCCTACGGTTGACTGGCGTCATTTACGCTCACAATTAGTAAATTAGCACGTGGTATATGCTGACTAATCAAAGAACCAATTTTTTCCTGAAACACAATTTGTTTAAAGAAGAAATCAGATCTTTTTGCAAGATCCTGTAGTTACCTACAACACACGTGTTAAGGCCATGTGTTCAGGCTTACGCTGCGTTGACGCAGGACATCGCCGTTTTTGAGAAAGTCAAGTATTTTCAAAGGATGTACATTTTCTCACGGACTTGGGTCTGGCTGGAAAGCAATAACAACTTTCTCTAGAAGAATTGCCAGCCAGACCATCTCAACGGCAATTGACGCATCGTAAGTCGACACGCAGTCAAAAGAGGGACCTAGGATTTATGGGTCGGTTTTCCGAAATGAGACCCTTTGTTGCGACGTCCCGCAGGCCTTGTTTACCGAACGAACACTTGGCCTGTGGGCGTTGCGCAATCGGGAAACCGCCCAAAGTTTTAATTGGACAATCTTAGGTCCCACTTTGCTGCAATTCCTTCCAAAATAGGACTTGGAGGGAATTTTCCAGGACGATGGAGGGAGCGTTTCTCAACTTCAGTGGAAAGCGTCCCTCCGTCAAAACAGAACAAAATAGAACCTCGTATCGAACAGAACACCTCGCGACTGAGAAATAGTTCAGAGTTAAGAAATAGTGAAACGGACAATAAATTATTTGTGTTGTAAATAACCAAGTTTTATTTACTAAATATTCATAATTCCAAAACACATCTGGAATTAACAACATGACTACCTGAGGCGACGCCATAAATCCAACTTACTCAGGCTATGCCCAACAAGTGTATCACCTGATACAATCAATTCTACAGAAACAATGCTACGTCCACCATTGAAAGTATCTAACGACGTCATTACTAAGTATCAGAAATTCCACGTTATACTGCTATTATGAGAACAAGGTTGACGATATGTTTACACAAAGAATTATCAAGACAGATAATCAGTTGGTCCACCAATAAAATCACTTCATCTTTGGAACTACCCTATCTTCTCTCACAGTGTTCCCTCGGTTTTTCGTTACGTTCTATCCATTTTCAACGAGAGCTGACTACTACTCCTCTCGTCGCTTCATAATCAACGACCAACCGTCGTCGTGTTCTTGCGTATTCTCTTTTCTTTTTCCCCGATCCATTCGTCTCCTTCGACGACCGCTCTTTACACATCGAATAAACTCGCGATCGAACGACGAGGAAATTGGAACAAAGTTCTGGGGAACCGGTAATTACCAAACTGCTTTTCACCCGGACTTTTTCTCGGTATCTTCGGATTCCAGTTTGCAGATAGTTTGCCCGACGTCGTTGACGTTTTCACGTTTATTGGGATTTCGAAGGGCATTAGAGAATCAATGAGGTTCGGTTGACGCATTCTCGATTCGGGAAATTCAGGAATGAAAGGGGACGCGCAGGCGTAACGTGTGATTTGCACAAATGGAATTATAGGAGACGAAAGGGTTTTTTCTTTTTCTTTTTTTTTGTCAGAGAATATTCCGAATGGAAGAGTTTCGTTCTGTTTGAATTTTACGGTGAACGATTTGCAAAATATTACGAAGGTGAGGTTAATCCGGAATTGAATATATTTAAATAGCTTGGAAATGACGTCAAACTATTTTCACCGACTTAAATTAAAGCTGTTGAAATTAAAGGTGTGAATCGTTAAAGAAACTGTTTTGACTGATTTTTGAACGGTGAAACTTGAGAAAATCTAATTTTGAAAATGCCATAATCTGTTCTTAATGTAACATTTGCTATGTTTAACTAGAAAATTAATATCGAGCTTGAAATAAAATTTAACTTACACATTTGTAATCTCACATGACATATTTTCATTACTTATTTATTGAAATCGAACATTTCACTTCTTTGCAAATTTAGATTTTTAACATATTGCTAATTTATAGTTATATCCAACTTTTAATGTTAACGCAAACTAATGTTTAACTATTAATGTTAACGTAAACACGTTTTCACCCTTACTCGCATAAAGAACGTTGAAAACGTGCCTTATTGAATTAAATATGTATGCATACCTGACACAGATCTGCACAAACAAGGTGATGGCCCAAGTAATCTCCAGGAAGAATATCAAACCGGACGCTGCTCTGAAATCGAATCAGACAAAATTGCCGCTTAAAATGCTGAAGGAAAAATATTTTCACCATTGAAAGTAATATTGTAAGATAATTTAATATAAAGTTATTGCGATAAAGTTTCCCTTTAAATGCAGTTTCATTGAGTTATAAGTAACCTGTATATGTATACTTGCAGGAAATATTAATTTTCAAGAGAAGTTATATTACCGATGCAAAAAATACAATGCAAATTAAAAAATTACGAATAATGGAATACTTAACGTTTAACAATTCTTCAAACTGAAAAGATATTTGGGAAAGAAATATACACAATATTCGATAAATATTAAAACCACGAATAAAGGCATCGTTACGATTATCACAGAAATATGTCGCGTAGAATTGTTTACTTTTTCCATTTGATATAAGACCAGAATGTGTCATATTTTTTTATAACTTCTTATGCTACTAGCTTTGCAGTAAAAATAAAATATTCAACCCGAAACTGGGATTTGCGTAATAATAATTATTGTAATAGTAATTTTTTTTTAAATGTGCATATAGCCTTAGGTGTTCTCGGCAATAATAAACGGAATAAAGTATGCGAAACTGAACTCTAAATCTTGCTCGTATTTACTAATATTTGCCAAAAGGAATTTTCACAAAATTAACACTTAACCCTTTGACTTGCGATTTATTTTGCTGACTATGTTCTAGTAGGTACTGTATTAGGTAGGAAAAGCTAATATATTATAGATTAATTAAATTCGGTGTTTATTGCACTCCTCGCAATTTTTAATATGACCTACCAGAAACTCTGAATCATTTTTACTATGGGCTACCAGCTACTCCGAGACTACAATGGCGCGATTGCGCCTCTGTAGGCGTTCAATTTTTCTTAAAAATATATCTTACAATGTCGCCGCAATGGAGCTGTTAGTTCCACTTACAATGTCGCCACAGCGGCGACAACGGAGTGCAAAGGGTTAAATCCTTAGTCGCATAAATAAAAATTAATTTTCGTTACTAACAGAACTGTTTTCGTCGCATCTGGACCAAAATCTTAACCAGGGTGTTTACAACGTAGTAACAGTAAAGAAGGATCCTAAATCCTCTTGCAAAGTGCCACTTCGACTAGCCTGATTGCTATATTCTTAATTAGCGCCTAGCTCTGTGAATGCCAAGTCCTAAATCCCACAAATCCTAAATTCGGAAATAACCCTTTTCCTACATCCACGTCATAAAGCTTCACCTTAACGCTCGGTAAGCGTGAAAAACCGCGGTTCGACAGATATTTCCTCGCTAATTCCGCTTTATCTCCACCTGTAACCTACGTCGCGGAACAACGCTTATTTTATTCGGCAAATAAGTCTAGCGTGCGAATTATTCGCAGTCCCATGACTCTCTGTCGCCCGTTGTTCAACCAAGCCCCGGCCGCGATGTAAAACTGCACCGCGATGTTTTATACCCCTTCGGCGTTGTTCGTTTCCAAATGGATACACAACAGACACGTGTGCGAATTCTGCGCGAGGAATTTCGCGGAAATTTAAGAGCCCCGTCGCGTAAATTCCCGCACCTCCGAAAGTGAAACTAAAAGTAAAACGTTGGAAAGCGATGAACGCTCTAACGCAGCGATACATCGGACCGTGAAAAATTCGCTTTTCCGGTAGAGTGTTGTTTCTCAGAGAATTCGGGGAAATCCTGTCGAGGGACGCCTTTCCCTCGAAAGTGCGTAATACGGACCGTTTATCACGAGAATGATGTAAGTCCATTTCTGCGTAGTCTAATTAACCCTTTCGCTGCGGCAGATTTTAGTGACGAACAATAGATGTTCAACCGTAGCCGCAAAATCTTTCATTTTGGCTGTATTCGTTTAAACATTTGTTTCGTTGAAATAAGGTAAATACTTGGAAGATAAAATTAAGCAGTGAATGAATCCTTTGCACTCCTATGTCGAGTCACACTCTAAGTCTTTCTAAATTCCCAGTTTACATATGTACCCACCCGTTATATTTCGCAAAATTTTTATTTTCTTTTTTACCTAGGATAAACAATATTATGTGTAGTATCGGGGCCTCCATACCCAAATAGGAAACCTCGAAGGGAGAATAGGGAAGGAGTGGTTGGCGCAGCGCGCAAAGCCTCGGCTTGCTAAGCCGAAGGTCCCGAGTTCGATTCCCGTTTGGGTCCCTCGATATTTTTCCGTCGTCGGTTCCTACAAATGGGGGCACATCCGGGATGGAGGCACCTACGGCTACACGAAGCCAGGAGGTGTACGATGAAAACATCTCGAGGGTTGCACGTCTCCCAACTTGCGACGTTTCGACTGTGTGCCACTGTGTGGAGGATAGTGTACCCCAAAGTGTTGAGTTGAGTTTGTGTTGCACTGAGGACATTCGAGGGCGAATGTCAGTTCAGGATGGCCGAGAGTAGTATCGGGGCCTCCATACCCAAATAGGAAATCTCGAAAGGAGAATAGGGAGGGAGTGGTTGGCGCAGCGCGCAAAGCCTCGGCTTGCTAAGCCTAAGGTCCCGGGTTCGATTCCCGTTGGGTCCCTCGATATTTTTCCCTAGGTTCCTTGTATACGAAGCAATTTTTACATTTGTCCTTTGAAGTACATTTCAAATAGTACGGCACTATTGGAAAGGAAAAGAAATTTAGAGTGCAAAGGGTTAAGCTAGAACTGCGCCAAAAGGCGCGCGAACTTTACAGTGTGAGTAAATTTTCAAAGCGTCTGTAGGCGCTAATAATGACGAGTTAACTCCTCATTGGTTCACAAGTACTTAGTACACTGTTGTCTATTTATCGAGGGATTATTAAATTTCAATTGTACTGTTGTGCCTGTGTTAACTGTATTAGGTGGTCCGGAAAGTTTGTAACGTAATACAGGAAAAATTCAAACCATCGTACCTCTGTTTCTAATTAAGATAGCGGCAAAAACCAAAAGGTATTTTACTCGTAATTTGAAGGCGAACCAAAGTTCGTAAAACCCAAGTGGTAAACAGTAATGTCGCTTTTCAGTCGCCATTCGAGTGCAAAGGGGTAACATTTAAGTTGCAGAATGTCTGATTAACGAGTTTTTAAACAGCTTGTAATATCTATGTAAACAGAGTAACTGTGAAAAATGAAAAATCTGTGTAATAAATTGAAATAAATTTCTGTTTTACATTCTAATTATACACGATTCTTATTTGCTTAAATTATATTTAACAGAATGTAGCTGATTTTGCGTATCAGTGTCACGAAGATAATTACATTGGAAGTTTCAAGGTAGATAGAGAACACAGGTAGAGGGTGTTAAGGTTGTAGGTCCCAAGAGTGCAAGGGAATAACAGAATTCTCTCGATGTAGTACACTCTCGAGGCCTACATGTAGCTTTAAGTACTTGTTTGCAAGAATTGCATAGCAGATGTTAATACCCATTCAATTGGACAATTTCCAGGTGTGTTCTTGTAACAGTCGGTTAAACGTTGTTTTTCTTCATTATTACTTAACCCTTTATTATTATTATTTGGGAACATACAACTAGTTCACTATTTCAAACTTTTTCTTGCGCTAAATCATTTCAAATTTGTATTCTTTTAAACTACAGGCACACGAGTGTGTGGCAAAACCAACTATTTTTAAGAAATAAAAATACTGAGTTATTGATTGTATTCATAGTGGTTTGTGAAGGCATATACCTATGAGTCCATAGTCCTAAAAGGGTTAATTTGAAAAAGAGAAAAATTCTGAATGCAGTTTTTTTAAATAAAACACTCTAAAACGTAGCATTTCGGTGTACAGAAGTATACGATAATTATTGGCAACAGTCATTGAAATTTAATAAATTACAAACGTGTAAAGTAATCTGAGACTATTTAATAAATCATGAAAATATGCTGAAAACCACGATAATACGGTATGTAACAAAAGTTCCTGGACTCTGGGTATAATAATTTATTGTAATGGAATGGAAGACAGTAAAAATCTTGCAATCTTGCTGAGTGAAGACATAGAATCGCCCGATTGACTGAATTTAAGAAGAGGGAAAAAGGATAATGTGAAAGTGTAGAAATACTTATGAACGTGTGCCTTCAAGAAAACGATGTGCAAATATTTCAAATAGTAAAGGAAATACTGTTAGTCGTATGTTCTCGTTCTTTTATTACGCCGAACCCTAAAACGAAATGCAGTAAATGCCGCGACATGAATCGGTGCCGCATTTCAGGGTTTAGTTTACAACCACGCTATATCGCAGCGCGGACTATAGCGAGGTTTGCGCCTATAACCCGCAGATGGTGGATGCGAAAATTTTGTTCTATAATATTTTAAACCTGTTTTACGAAAGTATTTATCACTATAAAATTGAATAAATATCTTAACACGTTCTGTTCAAGCATCGCCCACTATCCTTCGAATTATTTTCACTTAAATACTTTCCTAACCCCTTGACTTATGACAACCATTCAGACTCGTGGCAGAGATTCCGGTCAAGATGTGAGAAAAATAGTTGTATTAGTAAGAGAAATGAATTTTAATCCTTAATTTCGTTTTAATTCGAAAGGCTGAGGATTACTAAGTGTAACTGATCTGTAACAGATTAGCTTTCGTTACCTGGTACAGTAGTCAAACAGTAAAATGGCTGACGCTTAGATGCATAGTCAGAAAAGAAATCATAGGTTAAGGGGCTAATATCTATATTTTTTTTAGTTTCACGTAATACGACAAATTCCTGCACTTATACACACCTAATATTTATTAAATACTCAAACTGTGCATTTTTATGTTCTATCGTGGGAATTAGTGTGTAAGACTTAACTATCAATATTTTAGATTCAAAAAAGATACTCCCTGTTTTACCTTCTTTTTTTTTTTTTTTTTTATCAAAATGTGTTTTTCGTGGCCACACGCTGCGTACGCATAATTTCACACGACACGGTGGGAATTCATACCACAAACCCGGACATTTCGCCCGTATAATAGTAATTTTGCGGAAGACAAGATGTGCTAATGTCACCGGTAGTGCACGTCCACGTGCGTATAAAGC